TGTTTTGGCCTCCTAAACTTCTCTCCCGCTTTTTTCATGCATAGTGCATCACTTCAGCTCATTTCTCCAGCAACCTTGGTTCCTCTGTTAAAACTGTTAAAAAATCTCGCTCCATAAATATACAGTTGGAATGATTGATGCCTGTTGACTGTGCTCTCCCATTTGCAGGCAGCATCCTTATTAATATTAGTCTCACTTCTCCCACAACTGCAACTTCAACCATGCTGGTGGAAAAGGCTTGTTCTCTCTTCTGCTTTGATGGCTAAAACCTTCATGTCTTCTCTTCCTCTGGAATGGCTATCTTTTGCTGTCTTTAGAATCACTCATGTGCATACATTTGGCTCTAGAAATTGAGACCAGGCGCAGCAGTCAGAGGCAACTGAGGTTCAGAGGGCACTGTAAGGCAGAAAGGCTTTCTTGATGCCCCTATAACACCGTAGTGCAAATCCACAGAAATGACCATTTGCCTGAGGCACATTGTTGCAAAAAGCTGGAGTCCTGTCAAAAAGCCCTGTATCTGGGGTAACTATGGGATAATTTACGTGAAAGAGTATTAAAAACAAAGCTTAAATCTATCATGTGTCGCAGTCAAGGGCAGTAACAATAAATGAGTCATTGTGTCTCAGACCCCTCTCATCACTGCAGATCTATGGCTGCTACTGTGTAAATCAGAAAGTGCAGCGTGTCTTTTCAGGAACATGCCAGCATCCAGTTTTGTTCATCTTCCAGAAAGAATGCAGCAAATATGGCAACACTGCACTGCTGTGATACTTGGCTTATAACTGTAGTCTAATACAGTACCTTTAGGGAAGCTAATAACAAGCAAAAAAGTATGCGTTTGGCAATTTCCTGCTTCAGCTGCTAAGTTGTAATGAGGCTAGGAGACCTCGGTTACTGATTTAACAGGGTACTCTATGTTGCCCTTTTAATCATCACCACCTCCTTTTCTTTTGAAGGAAGCATATTAAAGTTATCATGCACATATCTTGCCCTGTTGCCCATGAAACTGTGTACACTTTCACATCACCAAGTACATTCGGAACGTCTCACTACTTGGGATTACTGTGAAACGGCCATAATACCCTAACAGCCTCCTGTCTGCTTTTACCTGTACTTCATTGCTCTTCTTAGATTAGCTGAAAATTAACAACTAGCAGGTACAGTTTGATATACATTTGTGGTTTTTTTCTGCTGATGCCTGCCTCCGTCACCACTCAGTGTGGATAGCTAAGTGAGAATGCCAAAAGTAAAAATTTGATGAGTAGGAAGAGGCGTGTGCAATCCTGCTGGAGGATTCCATAAACTGTGTATATCTGAGAATGCCTTCAGGTCTCTTGAGTCTTGCTTGAACTAGAGATTTTTCCCAAAACTTTCCGCATGCCTACAGATAACACTGTAGGCAAATTCCAGGGTTTTTCCTGTAGAAATCAGACTGACATTATTGGCAAAGTGATAAAGGAAGAAGCTGACATGCTAATATGAAATTTTTGAGACAGTTGATGCATGAAGTTAGAATCTTTCCTCAAGATGTCTCTGGAAATCTTCATACACCATCTAAAAGAACAAGTAGAGCTTTTGTGGCTCAGAAAACCCCACACTGACATGTAGCAGAGATAGGAAAAAAATAGAGGAGATAATGGTAAAAAGCTGGGGATGCCACTTAAAAGCTGAAGATGAAATCTAGAAGCAGCACCGATGTTGCTGCAGAGAGTAACCTGTTAAGCAGGTGAACAATCAGTAGGGTGAAAACTTTTCTCATAATTGTAAAAGTTGCTTTTTGGAGGAATGTCTGTGAATTATGAAAGAAATGGTATCTTCAGTTTATAGCACCTCAGAGCTGTCCTATGTAAGTGTCCGGCACACCCAGTTAAATCTAAACAGACTTCTTCCCAAAGCAGAAAAAAATTCCATTCACCCTTCACTAGAGGCTTTCAGACAGGAGGATACTGATGGCAGTTAAAAATTCTCCCCTAAACCTTCCAGTGTGTGAAGTTTTGGATACTTAAAAGATTTGCAATTAATTAAATATGATAAATCTTAATGTGGGGTTTTGACACAAAGAAGGGGAGTGTACTATATTGAACTGGTCACTGTTCACATCAGTAGATATTATACATATATTTACTACTCAAGAATGGACTGTTGTAAAATCTTAATGGACTGTAAATCAGGAAATGGTTTTTTCTATCTTTCAAAGGTGGGAGACGGATCCCAAAGATGGCTGATGAGAGAGGCTGGATAGAGCACTGATACCATGTAGGGTTGAAAAGAGACTCGGTGTCATGATGCATCATCTGTCTTCCAAGACACTAGTAACTTCCAAGACACTAGTAACTGTCTTGCTCAAGTGGATGGGCCACCTTTACTTAGTCCAAAAAAACCAACAATGTATGAATTACATATGTTTGGTAAGTAAACTTCCACACACTGCTTATCCTCTGAGTATGTGAGAAACTGGGTTTGCAGACAGGAAAGTCAATTCCATTTCCAAATTCGTTCAGTCTAAGCTTTTTTTGCTACTCATGATGCCAGCAATACTGCTAATTATTGCCGTAATACTCTGTAACCCACAATAAAGTAAAATGCTTCTATGCATTAAGCCTGAACAGGCAACTAATTGCAGGCCCACACAATATTCATGGTATTCATTTTAACTTTTCTTTCAGCCTGCCCTTTGCTGAAAATTTTAATGTAAGCTTTTCTACAGTAACCCCCCTCAGTTGCTTTATTCAGCGCCACTGTGGTCTTCCACAATTATTTTCCATGGCATTCATTGACACAGCATAGGAACAGTCAGCAACCACTAATCAGCTATGCCTCACTGGAACTGGGTTTGCCAGGAAAAATTATCATCTTCGTTTTATACCGGCGAAGCACAGCGTCTCCCACACAGCAAAGACACTGCAGAGCCAAGACACCCTCCTTGCCCATGCTCCTGACCCCGTTGTTCTGCTTCACCTACCCTCTTCCTGACTGTAAGAAAGCATGGAGATTCCAGAAGTTACCACAGATTTCCTCTGGTTTTCTGTCTGGGTTGTTGATTCTTGAATTCTTTACAGAGGCACTTTTGAAAATAATAATTTGCAATTTGGCATTCTGTGAGGATATTTCTAAAAATGCAATTCCTCTCTGTTACTGCCTGTACCCTGGGATAACATAGCTGTACTTCTAAATGACTCTCCTTCCCCTCAGGGTGTTTATATCAACAACTTTGCCTTGTTATGTCTTATATAAAACAAAAATTGCTTCCTGACATTTGCCCAGCGGTGATTTTTTTTCTCTTTCTTCCTGTGTACCAGGCAGTTTTCTGTAATATCGTTTCAGAATATGTCATTTAAAATTATCGTTAAAAGTATGGAAAATATCCATAATAAAAATTCCAAAGGCAAATTACATATTTGACTCAGAACTGTATTTTAAAAAAAGGCAGCTCAGGCTTAAAAAAACCCCAACCAAACAAAACAACAACAAAAAACCCCACAGCTACATAAAACTATTTTTTCATTGGTACTCTGAGAGGTGAATCTACAAGACATTTTCCATATCAATTCACACCTTTCAGCAAACCTTTTTCTGAGACATTCATATTTAGGTCTCTTACCTGATCATACCTGGCCTCTACTTTACTGTTATTTGTCCCAAGCAATGCAAAGAAGAATTCAAAGAAACAATTTTTGGTCTGAGAAAATCACTGAAGAAAAAATACAGGAACTTCATTATAGTAAGGTTTCAAATTGCAACTGTTAATATATTTAAGTAACCTGAGATTTTGTGTGTGTGTGTGTGTGTGTGTGTGTGTGTGTGTGTGTGTAAAGTGCTAGAACAAGAGAAGCCAGATACTGACCTTAACAGAATATTGTTAAATGAAAAAAAAATGGTCTTGTTGGATTGTGGGAAAGCAATCTTTAAATCGAAAAATCACTTCTAAGTACATGCTCAACAGGAAGTACTTTTCACAAAGCCCTAGTGAAATTTCATTCTTAATATTACATCCTTAATATATCCTAATGAAATACATGATAAAGACTGTACAATACTGTTGGGACAATATTGAATTTTGAGATTTGATATTTCCACTTTTTAAGTCTGGGAGATTCTCACTTTGAATGTAAAACTGTATGAGAACATTTCTAGCTTTAATTATTTGCACACAGAATTGCCATAAAAACATGTTTACTAGAATAATGGAATATAAACTGTTGTACACTCTGGGTAAATGTGTCTGCAGTGACAATGACATGTGAGTCTTGACTCCAGTTGCAAAAAGTCAATGAACTTAATGAAAACTTTCTATAAGGGATAAAAACTATCTTGAGCTTTGCATGATTTGTTCTGCTCTGACAATGCCTAGCTAGTCTAAAGCCAACATACCTGGTTCAGGAAGCAATCATCCTCAGCTGGGTGGTCCCATAGCTCCCTAAGGCATCCTTCTGCTCCTGGCTAGGACATCTTTTTTCTGTGGCAACCTCCAGCAATCTGAAGGGCCATAGCAGCTTTTTTAGGTGATGCCTGAACCTGCTTTATCAAACTTGGCACAAAACTAGTCTAGACGGAGAGAAGCAGGTAAATAAACGGCTTTAGGGCATCCTTGCCCACATGCCTGCTGGGCTGCACTGAACCATCTTTTAGCAAAGTCCCACAAGAGGACCAAAAGGTTCAGATCAGACAAACGCTTGCAGCTTGTGAGTGGCTGCATACTGACTTCAGCTGAAGTTCAGGGGAATTGGTGCCACAAAGGATCGGTCCTTTTTGTGGTTTTGTTCCTTTTCTTATACATAGGAAATCCAACCCTGTCATCTTAATATTTTTGCTATTATTCTTCTGATGGAGAATGTTTGACAGGGGAGCAGAGAAGAGTCTCTTGTGCGGGGCCAAATGGTATTGATAAGTAGAACAAATTCCCGCGTTACATTCTTACAAGCTGCCATGACTGCAAACAAGCTTTTTTATTAAGGAGAAAAAGTAAAAAACCCATAAAAATAATGCCAGAGCTGACTGACCTTGCAGGACAAGGATCCAGATTACACTCTTGAAGTTTTGGCTTTGGCTTGATATTTTCAGGATAATAGTGACAGTATTGATCTGCTACTACCCGGTTGCTTCTCAGATCAAAACATTCAGCAGATGTCAGCTGATAACCTGCAACACACAGTAGAAGAAATAATATGTGATGTGGTGCTCTTCCTGTCTCTCTCTGAAGTGCATCTAAGTTCTGGTTTGCTACAAAGCAAACTGAAAATATCATTGCTTTTGGACAAAACAGCTGCTGTCTTACAGACCAGATTGAAAACAACAACTTAAATTGCATGTAGTAGGAAACAAAAGATAACCACTATGATTGAATAAAAATTCAGCAGCCTAGAGCAAAAAGAAAAAAACAAATGTTGATGTTTCTTTGTCACCAAGATTCATACACTCAGTTCAGAGGACAAAGCTGCTGGTGGGGATGGGGGCTAGTGAAGACATCTTGTGATTCCAAAGTAGGCTCAGATCCCATCAGCCCTTATGTTTGGCAGCTGTAACATTAAATGCAGACACGTGGATATCAAAATGTACTGTAAGTACAGAGCCTAGTACAATGCTAAAAAATCTAAAGGCTACTACCACCGTTGCCACATGCCTCCATTCACTTAGATTTAACTACTTTCATTTTCAGATTTTGCCCTTTTTTAAAGGTCCAAAATCACAGTGCAGCAGTTGGGACAGATCCTGTATCCAGACGACTGTTTCTGGAATACAGTGGCAATTCATTACCTCCTCCACAGGATGCTGAACAAGGAAAAAAATCAGTTTCCCTCCATCGGTGAATGATAGGCTGATAGAAGATAAACTGAACTGAACTGTCAGCAGCACCAGCATAGCGGATCTGAAAAAGATGCAACCTGATATAAATACCAGGAAGAAGCATTCTGCCACATGCATACTGCAGTGTTGAGCCATCTTGAAGCTACATGAAACACAGGAGATACTATGCAATGAGAAAATTAAATGCACAAAACAGCATAGACTGGTGGCAAAATCTTGGCTGCAAAACAGTCAAATACATCTCCAGCCATAATCCGTGGCATTTTTTACCATTCTGAGACAATGTTCTGAAATAATGAATGCATGGTAAAGGCATGGTTAGTGCTACTGCATAATTTCCATCAGAAAATCCCCTACCACTACCTGCTGCCCCTGCTACTTTGACATGGATTTTAGATTTTTAATATTTCCCAACCTCCTTCTGAGACCATGTATACCTTATTAGACAGTTCAGAGTAAAAATATGTGAGGCTGTGCTGTAAGAAATACAAAAGTATAAAAATTCTAATTCAAGATTTTTTTGTTTCCGAGGTGAGGTCTCTTTTTGATTCTTCTTTGTGTTACTGTCATTATTATAAGGCCATCATTCTGGTTACTTTATTTTGGCTACAGAAATGCTCCTTTCAGTCATATGCATGGACTCTTGGCTGGAGCTAAGTGCATGTTTGGAAAACACTCTTCAGAGCCGACAAGTACTGCCAACTTTTAAGCCACCTGAGCTTCACTATGCTTTCAGTACTTCGTGTGCTGAATGGATTTCCCATATAAACAAGAGTTTGTAGTGCAAGGAGTGCAATAAGAAAATAGACCTTTATAATACTAAAGCAGCACCACGTGCACTTTGCCCAGCAAAAAATTCTCCCTGTTTGATAGCTGTGTTGATTAATACAGTTATGGCAACTTCAAAATCTCTGCAGGGCATCCCGTGTCCTTACCTCTAAGTCTCTGATGAACACTTGGCCAGAGAAGAACAACAATGATGCTACTAAAAGCCTCTCCTAATAGATTATTTGTCCTAGGACATAATGCATCTGTGTTGCTTGGGCATCTCTACATCAGTGGTATGAAACTATCGCAGGAGAGAAAACTGCCGAATCACAACCAGAAAATATGAGCCCTTCTCCAAGTCAGTACTCCCTGCTCTCAGGAGCAATCCTCCCTGCTGATGTTTTAAAACATTTCGGCACTGCCTCCTTTTTCTTTGCCCAAATTTTGAACAAGTTGCCCTGTTTTGGAAACTCCATTTTTCAAACTGCCTTTCCTTTTCTCTCTTCCCAAACATCAAGAGACAACATCAAAGAGTGGACTGTGAAACAGAAGCAAAAATATGACAAATTAAGCTGAACAGAGTAATCTGCATTGTTTGTTTTGCTTTCCCCTGTAGATGGACAGAAACATGATTACAAATCAAAGTATATCTTGAAGAGAAGGAGGAAGGCAAAAATAATCTAGGATATGTTGATGGTTGTAAGAGATCTGGCCCACCGAGACTAAAGTTAATTAGAGTAAATGGTGATGTAAATTCCCAATAGGAAAAAAAAAAAAAATACAGCTGTAGCAATACAGCTTCTTCGGCAAATGGGAGGCCTTTTGAATGGATTAATATTATTTGAGTCCATGTGTCAGAAACAGGATATCTGACTCCTTGTGCAGAGATGGTGCATTAATCACACACTTCAGAAAGGTCTTTCTGGGCTCATGAAAGCCCCACACACTCCTGGGAAAAATGTTCTATTATGCTGGAAGCCATTCGGGGTGGTCTCTGACCTGAATGTGCAGAAAAAGCATTCAGTGGGGAGAATTCCACTCTTAGGCTTTGTTTTTTAAGGATCATCACTGATTTTTAAACTCGGAAGATCTACTCAGCAGTACAGTCTTCAGTGAATCATGAAGAACAGACCAAGAGCTCACACAGAGCCTACTGTAAAAGGAAGGGGAGGAAAAAGAGGTCACAACAAAAAAAAAAAAGAAAAAAGTCAGGAAGACAGTAGAGTTTCTCTCTCTGTAGACTGTTCATCCATGTCTACAAAATTAGCTGTCTGTTTTGACACAAAGAAAAGACAGATGTACATCTTTTCCAGTCTAATGTGGAAGCAATTCATACAGCCATGGTAACAACATAGGTGGGAATGAATTACAATGAGCTACAGCCATGAGCTAAAGTAATACAAAACAAGCAAATGAAAGAAGCAGGCAGTGTCGTTTATTTTTTTAAGGAGTACTGTAAGCAGAAGAGGAACAATATATGGTGATTCCACACAGCAAAAATTTCTTTGTGATTTTGTTTGACAGTTTCTTAAAGCTAAGATCTTGATCCAGGAGAAAACATCAATGGCTGCTTGAGCTTTGCAAAACTCCAAGTGAGACTTGATAGCGAAATGCTTTTAAGAAATATCCTGGTTTTGTTGCACGGGGCCAACTTCCACACACTGTAATACTCAGCTCTGGAGTACGGTGAAACTTTTTACCCTTGCAGTATTTGCAACACCCTGCTAGCTATGACAAATGCTAGAGCTTCAAAAAGAGATGGTCAATACTTGAGAAACTTCAGTTAATGTTTAGTTAGCCCTCTAACTAACAGTGAGTTTTGCATCCTTACGTCACTGAACCAGAAAAAATGGCAATCATTCATTACGTTTGCAAAGAAAACACTACCTAAATTTATTAATAGCAAACAGCAGAAGTACTCAGATCTTGCAGAGCACTGAGCCCTGCATTTGTGCATTGCAACTCCCTAGAGATCATCCTTGACTTCCTTGAGATTTCAGGGAAGTTTGGGAGTATTCTGGACATCAGAGCAGGCCTCACCACTTCATAAGACCCAAAAGGGTATTACCACTCTTATGAAGAGTTGGTTAAAATGAGAATACCCAGACTATTCACCAAAAATTATCTATCTTGCCAACTGTCACTAGAAATAAAGACAACCTTTTTTTCTTGTAGAAGAACATTGAAAAAAAATCATTTTTACCTTGCTTTTTAAAATTAATTTTGTAAATGACTGTTAGTGAGGGTGCAACAGAGACACAAACTGCTGCTCGGGTGAAATTTGGAATTGATAAAATGCCATATTGATTTTGGGAACATCCACAGAAAGTTGAAAGAAACCAACAAACTTCATAATTAAAATACAAAAGCAGCGTATTTTTGAATTGTTCTGTCCTGTGACCAAGAGACTGCAGTTTCTGACTTCCCCTTTAATATGTGTTGTTTTTCCTATAGCCCCCAAATTTGATTAGTTCACATAAAAACAAACAAGCAAAGTTCCCCAGAGCTCAACCTTTTCATGCTTAATTTTCGCAGCATATGCCTGAACCATTTGTTTATGTGCACGGAACAACACATGGCCTGGCCTACAAAACTGCACTAAGTTTATTGGGGGGTTGTGAAATTTAATCAGCAGTTTATTACCAGGAATCATAACCAAGCTATTATCAATATTAAATATAGGGTTAAATTATAAAAAGTTTATTCAATGAGATATTCTCATTTTATGAAATGATATATGTTGCAGGAGGAAGACAGACCATTTTGTGTGTGTGTGTGTGTGTGTGTGTGTTTGTGTCCCATACTGGGGACAAGGAAAGGGAATTATTATTGCATACCATCTTTTGTCTTATGAAATTTGATCTGGTATATTATGATCTAGGTTCATGCTTATTCAAAAAAGTTATAATGGATTTTTCCACATTACTATTACAAATGCTTTCTGCAACTGCCAAATTCCAAATCATCAGGTTTGATTTATTAATGAGAAGCTCAGTGTTAAAGTCTTCTAAGTAACAAACAGAGGAACTGGGGATGAAGGTGTGGAGAGTTACTCTCATGTGGCATATGTAATTTTATGCTTTTTGAACAGTAAAACCAAAGTTTGTGTAATGCTTTCCTTTATTTAATGTGCTTTAATATTCCTGTTTGTATGTAGTGACACCTTACATTGAAAAAGAAGGAAGATGTGCCAGAGATCTGTTGTTGTTCCTAATTTGTCATGAAGCAGCAATAGGAGACATTGTCATAGGAAAATAATTTTACAAGCTTGTTCAAAATAATATAAAAAGTACAAAAAGTGTAAATCATAAGAGATGCTGGAGGTTTTCACGGAAACTAACACAGGACTACACCATGATTCCTCTGAGCTTGCCTTCTAATTCCCCCGGAATGCTGACAGGACCTCTGCCTTTGAGCTCCAAGGAACATGTCTACTGTCCACTCTTGCATTCATGTCCTTGATTGTGATAGTCCAGGTTTGGATCAGCTTGATTTTAGGGCTGTCTTTATGTGGAAGACAGTTCTCTCAGTTGCTTCTCAATTCAGCCTCTAAATCAGCCAGAGAAATCACTGTGAAATTACATTATCACCAATTTACATGCTTTACAAAGCGTCTCTGAATTAAATTTGCTCACCATGCCTCAGCCTTGGATTAAGCTGTGTTCCATTAGGTGATTAGGATGACTGTTAAAAAGCCTTAAGACTAAATCTCTCAAAGCCAAACCAGAAAGCTACAAGGTTCAAATCTTTTTTTTAAATTCCATTACTCTCCCCAGAGGAAAAACAAAATAGAAAATCAGTGCAATGGATGGGGTAGGATAGCTGGCAGCAACGGTGTCTGTTGTGTCAGCTGTAACAGCCATGGTAATCTGTACAGAATTCACCACTAAGTGCAACAAAAGCAGAACCTTCTCAAATGAGAAGACCAAAGTTATTCCACAGTACCAAAGGCAATCTTAAATACACTAAAACCAACCATGCTGCACACTCACCATAGCACCCCACTCATCTATGGAAAGACCATTTCACCACAGACAATGGGCTCCCAGGGTAAAAGAATCCACCTTTGAGCAAGCCATCTTAATCCCCACTGCAGAATATTTATTAACTTTAAATTAATAATGGCAGTACCTAATAAATTAATGTAAAAAAAAACCACATCATATATGATAGATGCTGTTTGAAAATAAAATTAACAAGATAAAAGGGCTCAAAATCATTTGTTAAAATGATGAAAACTGAGTAAGATCGGCATGAAAGCTTCATAGTACTTAAAATTGACTGATTTTTGAA